ATATTGATAGGCGATATCGATAGGTGATATCGATAGGTGATATTGATAGGCGATATCGATAGGTGATATCGATAGGTGATATCGATAGGTGATATCGATAGGTGATATCGATAGGTGATATTGATAGGTGATATTGATAGTGATATCGATAGGTGATATCGATTGGTGATATCGATAGGTTATATCGATAGGTGATCTTGATAGGTGATATGGATAGGTGATATGGATAGGTGATATCGATAGATGATTTTGATAGGTGATTTTGATAGGTGATATCGATAGGTGATATTGATAGGTGTTACTGGATAGGAAAAAAATAGTTGCAAATGACGTAACTAACTGGAAGAGGGGGGGATGGTTGGATGGGGGGAGCCGGGGGAGGAGAGGGGGTGATGTTGTTTGACCCTTAAAGTAACTTGTAAAATGTAAAAAAATGATTGTGTTATTTGAGCGTCATTTTTATTTCAACACTGTGGGGGGGGGTGTGGTGTGTATTAATTTAGCATTCCAAAAATCTAGGCCTCTTTAAGTATAATCTTAGTTTCAGTTATAAAATATAGAGCAACATAATATAGTTTAAGTCATACAAATATAGAGCAACATAATATAGTTTAAGTCATACAAATATAGAGCAACATACTATAGTTTAAGTCATACAAATATCATGAAACGTAGGTCCATTAAAATTTAAGGCCATAAAGATGTAGGCATATATTGTAAATGTTAATATATATAATAATAAATACGGGCTTCTGTAACTATAAGGTTTCATTTATATTAATATAGGCCTATATAAAGTTTCGGTTATATACATTTAGCCTGCATAAGGTTTTCAGATTTTATTTTGTATTATGCATCACAGCCATGCAGTTCAAGAAGATTTATTTCTGGCACATGAATACAGTTCTTTCAGTAGTTTTGGTCATGAGAGCAGTGCTACTGCCACCCATGGCTTTATCTATAAATATGAAAGTTTTAACATGTGATCGATACAAAGTTGGGGGTAGGGGATATGAGGGGAACAAACATGACTAGAAGATGATACAACTGACACTACTGCCCGCTGTCCAGCGATTTCTATTCGGCAAGTTATAGTGAGGAGATCTACTAGAACAAAATGGATCTGCAAGCTCTCACAGACCCCGGCCCGCAAGCGTTCTCATCAATAGTCATTACCTCCCATCGGCTTACTGGCAGGATATACCCATGTCATTCAATATGATACGGTATGTTAAATTTAACGCCCTCAATAAAGGCTTTACAATTTACGGACAGCTACGCGGTCTCCTGATAGTCAACGTTTCGCCCCCCCCCCCCACCCTTTTCAGCTCAAGGTCCAATAACATTTTCAATCGCACAAACACGAACTCTTTTAATATCCAGTCAGCCTTGAAAGCCCCATAAAAAATGCATGGTAATTAAGTGGGTGTAAATGCAATCACAGGACCGGTATTTCAATGTAATTTCAACACATGCTTTACTTTACGGTACGGATTGTTATTAAAATGTTTGACGACTGGTTATTAAAATGCTTGACTACTGGCTTTTAAACGAAACAAATTAGAGCAGTATATCACAAAGTTTGAAAGTTAACGCATAAACTATTTACTAATTGTGTTAGATTCTTTTTTTTAACTTCAATTATAATAATGGTACATCAATAATATTCCCAATTCTAATGAGGAGAGCTGGAGCAAAATATTGCACACCATAATTTCCAATATGATTTTACAAGGGCCGGGACATGGGCGAGAGTGAGGTAAAAGTGACAATTGCCTGAGGTACACAATTTTGAATGGGAAATTGATGAAAAATATATAATATATTTTTTTTTATTTAGACTAGGGGCCAAGTTTATCCTCATGGCTCCGATGAAAATACCCAGCTCTGAGTGGACAACTAGACCAAGACACAATTTTCAGCACGCTTCGTATACCTGATGCTGTTTTCAGACATATACTCGTGCATTTATTAGGGCAGCTATGCCTAAAACTAAAATGTTATATTTCAACAACAACAACAAACAAAAACTAAAAAAAGATAGCAGATAGTCCAGATAGTATCAGTCAGATAAGGTAGTTTCTAGTATCAGTCAGATAAGGTAGTTTCTAGTATCAGTCAGATAAGGTAGTTTCTAGTATCAGTCAGATAAGGTAGTTTCTAGTATCAGTCAGATAAGGTAGTTTCTTTCAAAAGATGCCTAGGCCTACCCACACCAGATTTCTGAATACCGGTAACTTGTAACAAGATCCAGGACGATGAAACTTAATGAAAGTTTTAAATATCTTTGAATAAACAAATGGTACGCTTAAAATGCCATACAACAAATTATTCGGCAGTGTTTACAGTGGACGGGGACATACTTTGAATATACCGGGTAGGTACCGGTACCCGGTACTTTTATTTTCTGGGCTAACACTAACACAAATACTAAGGCAAACTTTTGGTTTGAACCGACCAGTCCAACTAACTTATTGAAAGTTGTCGGGAATTGCTTCTTGTATTGTAGGACTTGCTCAGTGTACGAAGTTAAGTGCTAACTAAAGTGTCTCACCTGAAGGATGCCTTGGTACACTCAATCATCACTTCTCCAGCTCCAGTGAAAGTATATTTAATCCAATTTGTAATCCAGTTATAACGCGTTATCCAAAGAACACACACAGACACACACAACAAATCCAACAGAGGATCGAAATAAAAATCCCCACACTTATCAAGGCCGGATGTGGAATTGTAAACATTCGGAGCCACAGTAAAATGAAGTTTAAAGAACTAGGCGGAGCTTGCCTTCGACCACCTGTCGTACACGGCACGGTGTGTGATGGTAAAGAGAGAGGGGGCTTACCTGTGCGTGGTGACTGGTGTGCTCGTCATCCCAGCGACACATCCCTTAGCCCCCGTGTGTCTCCTCGAGTTTTAAAGCCTAAACTAGGTCGTCACGAGTCTTCCTTTACTTGGTTTTGGGGGGAAATTACACTTCTAGATATAGATGTTAACTGGGTTTTTTTTTAATGACCACGCATTCAATCGGTCGACAGATGGGGGGAGGGGTGGGGGGATTTGGGGGGACGTACCAACTAAGGATAGCCCGCCCTAGTTAGTGTTTAAGTTTATACCCAAGGGAGAGGAAGGAATAAGCGAAGTATATTTGATGGTAATAATACGGGGAGAGACTGCATTCTGATTAGTTAGAAAAGAAATGAGTACGGTAAAAGAAAGTATGGGTAAACCTGAAAGAAAGGAACGAAAAAAAAATAAAAAACAAACAAAAAACAACAGCAACAAAGTAACGAACAAGTGAAAGGGTAATGTAATTAGGGGGAGAGACTGCAATCAGGTTAGCACAATATGAAATGAGTAAAACAGGGTAGGGTTAGTCTAAACCTGAAAAAAGGGAACGCAACAACAGGAAGCCTTCGTCAGCGAACAAAACAACAGGAAAAAACAGAATAAAAATAAAATCTAGCACTTAGCTTAGAAGTAGTATCTAAGAAATGAATGTTTTTTTGTTTTTTTTCTTTTGTTAAAACGTTAGAGTTTTGTGGTTTTTTAAAATGAACTTAAAGGCTATATACTAGATTCTAGAAGTATATCCATAAAAGCAGTGCTGGTCACTGCTGCCAGACCTATTCATCCCCTCCACCTACTTCCAATAAACCCAGACCTATTTCTGTGACTTTCAGTGGGTAGCGCAAGTAGGTGGGAGCAGTGTTTCTTACTTTCAGTACTTTCAGACATTTTTCCGGGGGGGGGGGGGGGGGTGTGAATTTTGCTTTCTATACCTACAGTTTTAAGGTGGAGGGAGGGGGTGTGAATTGGGCTTTCTATACCTACAGTTTTAAGGTGGAGGGGGGGGTGTGAATTGGGCTTTCTATACCTACAAT